CTACCCTGAAATTCTACTTTCCTTGGCCTCCCCAATGTTGAACGTTGTTGAATAGAATGCCTGACTCCTGCCTAACTTGGCTCTCCTCATCTTGGCTCATGCTGAAGCAACTGAACAGCTTGGCTCAGAGTCCAAGGAGCTAGAGTCTGAGACCTTACGCCAACCTCCCCCCACGCCCCACCCCCTCCAACACACACACTCTGTGCCTGCCCAGTCTGGTTTGTGAATAGTTCTTGGCAAATCCCCCAGAGGAAAATAGAGCCACTAACAATAGCAACTCCGTTTTTAGCACAAAGCTCTTGAAACTCAGGACTATGAACTTAGGAAAACCCAAAATAACCTATGTAATTACAGTGGGTTACCCTAACAGTCTATTTCTATTACCAACATTAGAGTCACTCCAGTAGATATTTAGCTGCTTGTAGTGGAAAAAGTACTGGGCTTATAGCCAGACTGACCTGAATTCAAGAACCAGCTTGGCTATTAACTAATTTTATGACACTGGGCAAGTCATTAATTTGAGCCTGTTGAAACTGAACAAGCAAATGTACATGTAAGTGCTTGAAAACCTGTAAAGTGTCATATAAAGTGGAACTATTACTATTGGGAAATGGGAATAATTTAAAAGTTTCAGAAAAAGGAGAAATTTAAATCTTCAAGAAACACTGGGATCAACCTGAAGATGGTGTTTAACCTCTGTTCAACACAAGGCCCATCCTAAAAACAAACGACTAAAACTACAGTTGTCATTTTGAGTTAAAGGCTGTCTACCCTTTTGTTCATGATGAAATTGAAATGGGGAAAGATTCATTGGTTCATGTTGTTAAAAAGAAAAGCCACAGGCCAAAATGGAGTGGCTTGTGCTAAAAGCCCATGATACCACCCCTAGATTTAATCATTAATCTAACTGAATTTCAGCTCTCCCACTGTGGCATTTTAAACCAGTCAGTCTGGAATTACCTGATTCATACTAGTGAGGTAATCTGCATGATAAGAACCCCAGCCTTCATGTAAGGGAATGAAGGTGTCCTTGCCTGACAAAATTCACTCTCAATTTCTTAGTCCCACCCACTTCCTGCCTATAAAAACCTTCCATCCGGTACAACCCCTCTGGGCACCCTTCTGTTTGGTAGGTGAAATGTAGCCTGATTCATGAATCACTTACCTTTTTTCAGACTCTAAGATACACCCCCCCCCCCCCCCCCAGTTTGGGAGAAATAATGGTTGCTAATAATGCTGTTGAGTTCTGTTTACATTTATATTGGTGAAATATTATGTTATTTATGTTATTAAATATTTTACCATATTTTTTGCTTCAAAAATTTTTTTCCTATTTTCCTTTTCTAAAACCTAGGTGAGTCTTATGGTCAGAAAAAATTACAGTAATAAAGCCAAATAGATCCACAAATTTACCTGGCTGAATTTTGTTTTTTAAGAATATCAGGGGATGAGTCTTTGTGCTAGTAAGTTTGGGAAAGCATCTGCTTACATGCTAACTGCTGGTTTTCTGTGCAATTAAGCAATTGTTTTTGTCCCTTAAATTTTTATTTTATATGTAGTGAAAGAGGTTGGCTCTTTGGACTTAGTCATATTTCTGTCCTATATCACTCTTGTGCATATATGAAAAGGGAAACATAGTAAAAGAAATTGGTTAAAGGTCTTGTTAAGGTGGTTGGTGATACGGGCTATGAAAGGATTCACAGAGAAGTGTAGTGAATAAAGTTGTCATTCACTCTCCAAGAAAGGAGAGGGGTGTGGTGTGAAGAGATATACCATCACATTGTGGGTGGGGGCTTTGAGCTTTTATTGGATTATAATTGGATTAATAAAGGGTGGAAGGTTGTTGTTGTTGTGAGGTCCCTGGGCTATTGTCAGGCACCTCTCCTAACAGGAAACTGTAGTTAGTTCCATTGTTATCTTCTGCCTGGGGCTGTAGAGAGTTAGTTCTGTTCTTGCTTTCCAGTTTCAGTCCTGGGGACAAGCTCAGAAGACTAAAGTGGCAGTCATGTTTAACAAGGTCACAGGCCTACTCACAAATGGTACCACAATAGCAAATGGCTCTGGCTTTACCCTTTCAGGTTTCCTAAGGCAATTTCATTATGATTGCCACCAGACTGACAGCAACTATAAGAGATCACTTGATCTCAGGGATGGTAAAACAGGGAAAATCACAACAGTAAACACCTTACCCACCACCCTGCTTATGATAGAGGACTTAAGAATTGGAGAATTTTAGTTTATGTAATAGCTAACAAGCTTAGTAATCCATGCATGTAAAAGCTTTTGTTCTAGGAGATGAGGGTATGACCCACCCTGACTCCAGGAGACCAGAAGCAGTTCCACCTTTGTCCTCCAAGGACTGCAAGCAATTCAAGATGCTGTCTGAGCCGCTGCACTCCAGGGTGAGATGACCACTGCCTGGGGCACAGCTTAAGACCACTGCCCAGGCTGAGAATGCTGAAGTTGTTTTTTTAATCCAATTAACTCCTCCCCGAATTTCAAACCCTGTCATCACACCTTGTTTATTCTGAGCTATAATAACCTTGGCCTGGAAAGAAAACACAACATGGTCTGTTAGGGTATGAACCTGCCATCTTCTCAGATTGCTGGCCATCTGAATAAAGTCCCCATAAAGATTTAATCCCTGTCTCTGCTTATTGAGTTTGGTAGTGTCGTGTCAGGCAGCCCCAACTCTGGTGTCTTTTCCGGTTTCACTTCCATATAGAACAATGTCCCATACTGTTGGGATCCTGGGTGCATACCTCCCTATCACATCTAGAAGTACCCACCAAGGACATGCATGAAGCACCCGCCACAAGCCACTATAACACCCACTTCGGACATGGTGGTGGTTGTGCCATGATCACGCTGGCTCCTCTTCCTCTTCGGCCCTTCCTGGCTGCTCCTGACATTGCTGTGTTTCTCTGTCTTTGGCCCACAGACTTGGTTGCTGCCATGTGCCCAGTACTGTTGTTGCTATCCTGCTGCTTACCATTCCTGCTGCTTTTCCCGTTACTGCTACTTTAGAGGCTCTGTGAGTTTCCCGACTATAGAAACAAATGTGCTTGGGATGGATTCACTGAGCAGTCTATAGGCACAGCAGCTGTGGGAGGCACATTGGATACCCCTCCCCACAGCTTAATCAGAGGAGGGGGCCCCAGACCATGTGAAGATTCCTGATGCTGACCTGATCTTGATTCCTTTCTCCCTGGAGCTCCTGAGCTGAGGGTGAGAGAATAATTGAGGCAGAGAAGACAGAATGGGAGACCAGAAGAGTCTGCTCACTTGTCTTCCTATAGCTGAGGACACCGAGGACTTAAAACTAGACTTTTGAGGTCATAAATCTCCAAGCTCCCACTGGATGCAGGAGTCCCCTCTGCAGAACCTCTGTCAAATGCTCTCCCTAGTTTTACCTCAACTGTTCCAGAACTAGGAAGAGTGCTGTTACAATGTCCCTGGTGGACAGCCTCACATACCTTTATTTTCTATAGTTTTGCTAGTAGTTCTGTAGGGATTGCTGAGTCGAGGGTTACATTTTGATAGCAGGGAACAGATTGTGTGTGTGTTCATTCACTCATATTATAGTAATTTATACAAACTCAGGGCATGGTGGTCTTGGGAAGACAGATTGCAGTTCAAACAAAGGAAGAACTTCCTAATTATTAAAAACAGATCACAAGAGATCACTCTAACTTGACTGAAGTAGTACATGTTCAAGAAGATATTGGACTATCATGATATTTTAGGTGAGTATGAGATTGTATGCTAACATCTAAGGAATCTATGAAATTGAACCTCATGGTATAACAAGAACCTCTTTAATATGTCAAGTCCCTAAGAGAGGGCCCATTTAGGTTTGGATTCTTTCACATGGAATGTACTTTCCAGCTGAAGTTCACTTTCCAGGTGAACTTCAGAGAGCATTAGGACCAACTTTTAGATATTCTCCAAAAGCTCCCTGGCTCTATCGTGCTGAGTCACAGAAGAAACTTTACTCTGGACTTTTCTCATCTCTGATTCAGTAATAGGCATGTCTACTGTGTCCCCAGCTAGGATGGTGTAGTAATTTCTGTAACTCTCCTCTGATGGCCTCAGGAGATAAATGGGCTTATCCTAACAGGCAAAGAAGTCTTTCATGTGTCTGAAGGAATGCAAACCTACAAGTAGGAAAATAGACAGTGGCAAGCTTCAGGTCTAACTACTCTTTCCTAAACTTCAGGGGAAGCAGCCTCAGTGGCCCTAAAGTCTTTGTACACTTGTATCCTCTTCTTTTGATAACCTAGTCATGTCTGGCATGCATGCTCTTCATAGCCTGTGGCTGGTCAGGCCAATAGAATGAGAGCAAGTGGCAGAGAACAGGGCTGGCGGATGCGATATCGGTGTATATTTGGACATGGTTGTCTACACCCATCATATCTCTTCTTTTGCTAACTGAAGTTACTCTCAAATATTGGTGTGTGCTTGAATACATCATACTCCCCTTCTTTGTCCAATTGTTGCTGAAGTCCCCCCTAGAGGTATTATACACGCCCTCTGCACAGCCAGCCACTGTAGATAGACTAGTGCAGTGACATGAATTCACCACTCATAGTTTATCAAGAAAGTTCTGCCTCTGCATTCATGTGTGTAGGGGGAGAGGAGGTCTATTCCAGGGCATGGTTTAGCATTGCCCAGTTAAAAAACAAAAATCAAGCGGGTGCAAGAATTAGGGTGGGAACGGGAGAGCCAAAGACGCTGTAGCAAAGCAGAGCGAATTTGGGCAAGGTTAGGCTGGAAGGAAATGAGGGAAGCCAACAGCCACTAAGTTCCAACAACATTACACCTACTCACCTGACGTCAGAAGAGGCTTCAAAAAGCTCATTAGCTTCTCGCGAGAGAAAAGATATTCTCGAGAAAGTGTACGTCAGCCCTCGACTCGCCTTCCATGAGCCCCACCCACAACCCGTTCTCACTCCCACTTTGAACTACCGCAAGTGACGTCGTGACGCGTGCGTGGCTGCGGCGCAGGGGGCGGTGTCCGCGGCGCCGGAGGAGGAAGTGGTGAGGTTGTTGCTGCTTCTGCTGGCTGGGCTGGCTCCCGGCTCCCGGGACACGGAGGGGACCCGCCGTCTCCGTCGCTGCTTTGCGCTCCCCTGCTGTTCTCCATGTTCTTGGGCGACGTTGCTCCCCTTCCTCAGGCCACCTCTTATTCCGGGGTCTATGGAAGTAATGGAAGGACCCCTCAACTTGGTGAGTGGCCCACAGAGGGTCGCCCTCGGGCTCCTTTGCCTGAAGAGCCGGGTCTGATTCCCTTGTTGCCGCTGACCCTCGAGGCCAGGAGACGAGTTTGGCGGGGGTGGCCCCGAAGGCTGCGGGGCACAGGCGGGCGTGGCCCCACAGCTGCTGCTGGCAGGCAGCCCCTTACTTAGACCCCCTCAGGGAGCCCAGGGAAGCTCCCGAGCCTGTTTCCCGCCGCCTCCCGGCGCCCCCTGCAGCAAGGCCCCGAGCGAGGGGCTTTCTCCAGCCGGGGCTGCCACTTCAGGCCTGAGGAAATGCTTCCAAGCGCCACGTAAACACCTCCCTGCAGCCTGGAGAGACACCGAAACCAATCAGGGTAGAAATGGTGTGTAGTCCTGGGTTCGACTTCCAACGCAGAGGGTCTGAAGTCTGAGAGACTCCCCACCCACTTTGGAGAGATGAAGTAATACCCCTCTTCACCCCCATTTTTCCTTTCCTCATCTACATTCAGGTGCATAAATTGAAAGTCCCTTCTCGACTGTGTTAGGGTCGTCCCTTTTAGCTCAGTCGGCCTTTCTCAGAAAAGGTGCTGAGAGTTCATTTATTGTGTTTTTAGGCTGCAGCACCTGAAATGGTGTTGCAATTGAAGCAACAACGAATGGAGAAATGCGTTCTTTTCTGACTGGTTGTTGCATCTTCTGGTTTCCCAGAGAGAGAACCTATTTTGTATACAAAAGTCAGATTGCTTAAGGTTGCAGACAGACTGAAGGAACTTTTAAGAATCACAGTTTTGAAATTAAATTGCAGTGGTAGACATATGGAGAATTAACTTCTCATGTTGGAACTCTGAACCCTAGGGTCGTGAAGAGCCCTAGGCTGGATTGAAATCATTCTGTAGAGAAGCAGTAGAACCTGGTAGTTTAAGAGCATATATTATAACTAGACCATAAACCCTTAATTTAAAATCTCACTTGTACAAATAAAGGTTTGGGCTTGTTGAACTTGAAAATAATAAGATTCTAGGACCTAAAGCTGTGGTTCCCAAATGACTGGTATCAGGTTAGCTGCTTTGAGAAGCACTTCCCAGTTTTATTAAGTTGAGCCCTTCCCCCATTGGTAAGAGTTGTTTACCCTTAAAAGAATTGGACTAGATTTGTGAGTTTTTGTTTTTTTTTTTTAACCAGGGAAATGTCTTGTGCTTTTCTTGTCTTTGAGGTGACATGCAGTTTGCAGTGAAATATAATGGATGGTGCAATATTGAAACTTAACGGGAATGTTAGAAATAACCAGTAGTTTACATAGTGCTCCAAAGTTCAAGTGTCCTTGCAAAATGACCATTGGTTTAGTTCCAGTTAGCTTTACTTTATTTGGCTGCAGGCTGCAGTGTAACCCCAGCCAACTCCCACTAGTGTGATAGCTTATGAGAAGAAAGGAACTGGGTGAGCATTGTAGATGGAGCAGGGGAATTATCAGTTCAGGGAAATTTAGTTAAATGGTGGTAATTTAGTTAAAAGCCTTATCTTTTTATAGAGGACAACTTTGCACACAGTCCTGTTAGGCAGGCTAGCACAAGTTGGTAGGTAATCCAGCCATAAAATTCATGGGCAAATATTAGAAATTTGGCATCTTGAATTCTTAAACCGTTGGAGTCTGAAAGATCTGAGTTAGAGCTTAGCAGTTTATTGAAGGATAACAGTAGAACAAAGATTAACATTTGTTTGAATTATTTTGAATGTGCTGTTAAGTACCAATGACAGGCCTCTGAATTTGTTGTCACTCATTTTTACAAGACTGTTTTTGTTTGTTTGTATGTTTTTAAGACTATACATTCTTTTATTGAGCAGATAGCCAATTTAGTATTCAATTGATCTAACATGAGAAATAGTTCTCAATGCTATGATTTAATGAGGGCCTTTGAACATGTCAGTAGAGGCTATAGCCATACCACCCTGAATGCACCCGATCTTGTCTGAAAATGTCAGTAGAATATACAAACTTTTTCTAATGACAGAGTGTAGTCCAAATTTATTGTATAAGGACGATTACAATACATAGGTTTATAATCATCTGTCCTAAGAGCATCCTTGGAATTTAGGAAGAACTGCTTCCCCATTTTACAGATAAAAAAGCCTAAGCTGAGAGAAGTAATTACTTAGACCAGTACTCAAATGCATTTTGCATCATAACTTATTTTGATGATATGACCTCTTTCTTGCAAGGCTTCTGCACCAGTGTACTCATTGTTTTCATTTCAGTATGGTCCTTATCTATATTGAACTGTGTATTTTTTGTTGACAATTAATGCCTCTGCTGTAGTATTGATTTTTTTGTTAGGTTTGCAGAAAGGGCCTGAATTTTTGTTTCACGGGTTTTTTTTTTTTTTGTCAATTTTTAATATGTGAGTATAATAAAAAGTTACTGTATATTTAGGCATTTTTAGGCATTTCTTTTGATACATCTAATTTTGGCATTGTTGAGTGCTGGTTTCAAATGTCAAAACTTGTGAGATAACTTTTAGTTCATTGGTTTGCTTGCTGGCTATTTAGGAAATGGTGTCAGACCTTAATTTATACATGACTGTTGCTCATGCTTTGCTTACCTACTCTGTACACTCAACTGACAGGGTCCATGTGACTCCATGGCCACAATTGTACTCTGTGTTTGGCTCCTAACAGTGCTGAGAATATGTTTGTTGAGTAGTTGAGTTTGCCTCATTAGGGGTCAATTTTTCTCATCTAAGGAAAGGAATCAGCTATGGTCCAAGAATTGCCTTGTACACACTTAGAATCTTTGTAGCTATTCCATGTTAATTATATTGGCAGTAAACTCTTTATATGGTTAAAAAAAAATATTTTAAAGCTGTTTGAATATCTTCCTTGTTGCCCTGGAAATTTCAAGGAAAAAATCATCCTGTGTCACAAGCGACCCTGGGCTCATAGAAGCACTCTGGGGAAAGGTGGTAGTTCACTAAAACTTATTTGACAGTTACTAAGTGCTGGGGTTGGTATCAGAGACTTTGTGTTATTTATTTTGTTTTTTAGTATTATATGAGATATTCCCCATTTTATGATGAATACATTGAAATGCAAAGTAATTGCTGATAATGGGATTTGAAAGCAAGATTCTAAATAAAGTGTTGATCTTGCCTTCAGCTCAGTGTTTATTTTGACTGGTTCACAATGAGAAATTTATATATAATGACCAGTACATACATACATATGTGTGTATTACTACAAGGCTGCTACATTATGGATGTGTCTCAGGAATTGTGTAAAATGCAGGGACTCTCATAAATCTCACCCAAAACAAAACAAAAAAAGTGGAAACTATGTAATGCCATATATGTACGTAATACATATGTGTGTGTGGTGTTATATTGATATACTCTAACATTTATTATTGGATATTTTTTCAAAATATCCAATATTTTTTGTTGGATATTTTTTCAAAATATCCAATATTTTTTGTTGGATTTTTTTGCTGTTGTGACCCACTAAATTGATTTCACAACTCACTAGTGGGTCAGATCCTGTAATTTGCTTACATAGCAGATGGTGGTGGTTTTGAGAAAAAGCAAGCTAAACTGGAAACTTTTTTAAAAATTGATTTTGGGGGGAGAGAGACAATTTGTTGTTTTCTGTATTTATGCATTCATTGGGTAATTCTTGTATGTGCCCTGACCTTGGGGATTGAACCTGCAACCTTGGTGTATAGGGACGGCACTCTTAACTAACTGAACTACCCAGCCAGGGCTAACCTGGAAACTTGAAGAAGAAGACAAGATGCAGCAGAGCTGTGTGTGGGAGAAATTGATCCTTAGACTCAAAACCAAAAGCAGGCCTTCCTGGACTTTCTAACACTTGAGCAGTTATCTTAAGTATAATTGCACTGCATTAGTTAGACGGTCAATTCAGTATTTACTGTTTGGAAATACTACTTGCCTGTAGGAGACTCACAATAAATTGATTGGAAAATCTAAATCAGATTTTTCCTTCTCCATTGAAGACCCTACCATAGGTTTAGGAGTACATTAGATTTCCCTCTGCCACCTTTTTCAGTATTGTTTGGTATGGCATTCCTTTTCATCTTTACATACAGCTTTCCCCAGGGACACAGAAGTATATGAAAAATAATGGAAGGTAATACCATTTCCCTGTGGGAAAGAAGACAGTATTGAACCTGTGTTTTTAAAGCAGTTAGCATGTAAAAGTAGAATGTACTTTTTGTTGAGGGCTGTCAGTAATCTAGTTATAATTAGGATTTTTGTTAGTTGCAGGTGGTAGAGACCCACTTAAAATTAGCCTAAGCTAACTTGAGGTAATTTATCGGAATCAAAATAAAGGGTAGAGCTACAGTGTAGGTGAGTCTGGCAGCACATGGGACCTGGTACTAGAATATAATCAGATTCTTCTTCTCTGCCCCTTTAGATTTGACTCTGTTATTCCTCTATGCAGACCTATATTTTCTACCTGGCTAACTTTTGAATGTTGCATTAGTTAAAACCACTTTAAATTTTTGTGACATACTCCCTAGTTCTAAATTTTAAAATCTGATGGAATAGATTCTTTAGGTGTCTGGGGGACAAGGTAATACAAGAATTTGGCAACTTTCACGGGAATATTACCTCTTTTATCTAGGAAGAAGAACAGTTCAGAGAGGAGTGGGGCCTGTGGGAAGTGCTGGTTGTTTCTGAGGAGAATTCAGCAAGGGCGAAGCTTGTACAGGGTACACAGAGTAAGATACTAGTGAATCTGAAGCTGTTTTACTTTCTATAAACATTTTTGAACGTTTTATAGTATGTGCTTTCATTTTTACTTGAAAGAGTAGGAAAACTCTGGTTTAAATGTCCTACAGATTGGGTGGATTAAATAGTGAATGAAGTACAGCAGTGATTGACTTTCCTCCCCCCCACCCCCCCTTGTGCCTGTGTGTGTATGTACATATGTGTATATATAGTTACTTATTTTAGATTTTAGAATCTAAAATATGAAACTGCATAGTGTTATTCTCAT